TGGGACTGTTTAGCAAGAGGGCTTCTCTGACTGTGTGACACACATGCATGGAGGAGCCATGTCAACACCACTTGGAAGGCTCCCATCTGAGGGTGGGCCGTGTACAGATGTTCGAGCAGCTCTTGGAACGCGAGGTCCATGGTGAAGGGCACTGAGGAGCAGAAGAGGCATCCGGCTTGTCCAGTGGTGGTGGGTGTCGAAGTAGATCCTGGCATTGGACAGTGAGCTCTTCGCTCAGAACGGTGCATTTTGTCCTGGTTCCTGCTGAAAGTGTGCTAACTGGGGGTCTCGTGATGTCGATTGTGACACAAGGAAGCTTCTGTGGTCTCTGATTGGAGCCGCAGGTCAGATCTGAGGCCCTCGCCATTGCGGCCCTTTGGGTTGGTGAGATTGCTGAGTACCCTGTGGGCTGCAGCGGCTGCAGAGACCTAGGGGAACGGTAGAAGTTGTGAAAGATAGTAGGCCACATTTCTCCCCTTGGCAGTTCCTGAATTGCATCTCCTGTCCCATGGCTGAGTCTTGGAGGTCGCCATGGACTGTGTTGTGGTCACAGGCCTGCACTTCTCCTGCAGGTTGGCCAGAGGCCCAGAGAAGAATGGTTGTGCAGGTGAGGAAAAATGCAGTGTGATTTCCTGGGATGTTATGTCTGCTGAGGCTGCAGGCACTGTTGTTCTGTTTTCACTGATGCATACTGTGGTCCTTTGGAAGCTGCCCTCAGCTGGGTACAGAGGAGAGGGCATTGCTGGTGCTTGGGAGGCTCAGTGATAGGTGACCTTTGTGTCCTTGGTGGCCTGCTGCCAGTAGAAGTACTCTCCAAGGGTATCTTTGGTGCCTTGAAGAGTTGCAGTAACAGAGACCAAGCAACGAGGCCTGTGGGTTGTTATGTGGTGTGTGCACATGCCCCTTGGCCACCATTTGACCCTGGGCCTGGAATTAGCTATGTTCCCTAAGGTTGGGGCCAGTCAGCCGGCCCTGTTAGCACCAATGTGTTCGCCCCCCTGGCAATGAAGCATCAATCTTGGAGGCCGGTGGTTCTGGTAGAGATGGTCATTGGTTGGCATACCCACGCTGCCTCAATATCTGAGCCAGCAGCTCCCATGGCCCTATGGCAGAGACCTGTGGCATCCAAGGTCTTCCCCTGGCAGGTCTTCTGATGTCTTCATGAAAGCATCCTTAGTGATCTGTGTACACTCGGTCAGTTTTCTCACCTTCATCCTCTGGATCTTCCTGCTTGCTGATTGTGCCTGAGTGTGCCGAAGGCTTGGAGGCTTCAGATTTGGGTGAGTAACCCTTGCGGCAGGAGGAGTTCAATCTGGACCACGGCCTGCATTATGGGAGCTTTCTCTAGGGTGTCGTCAGTAGCCCGGTCCCTACAGGGTGTGGATCTGAGGATGATCTGGCCAGGACAGGGGTCCCGTTTCTGTAGGAGTGACCCTTGGATCCTGGTACCTGAGGCAGTCCAGGTCCCATCCTCACTTTCTGTCAGAGGCCACCCAATGATTGGACTGACTGGCAGGAAGAGACGCATGCCTTGAATTCTTTTCCTATTCGAGGGTGCGGTGAGTCGCATCTACCCTAGTTCCAAGTTCACCTAACTGTGCAGTTCTCTGGGAAGATTTTCTGGTTAGGGTGGAGGTGGTCCTTGTGACAAGGACCCCTTAGCTGTAGTAGTAGCTACAGTCTCAGGGTATGTGGCATTCACACAGATGCTCTGCAAGGTGACCTTGGGCGGTCAGGTCTCTGAGCTTTGGTCAGAGATCATGGGTCATGGAGACTGGGAGCCTAGAGCCGATGTCGACAGCCCCTCAGTGAAATTTTGCATTGGGCCGAAGGAAGATGCCAGGTGTCCTCCCCCATTTTTTGGGAAGACAGGAGGTCAGGGCTCCATGAAGATGCCATGCGTATTCAGACTGCAGGTTGTTTCCATGCGGGCTCTGAGACTTGGATACCCGGACGTATTTCTAGACACACACCCAAATTGCTGAGAGTGCGTTCTTGTTGGTACACCGGAACAGAGGCACTCAACCCCAAATAGAATCCCCTGCCACCCATGCATGCTAAGTCAGAAAGACACACACATGCACCTGAGCCTGATTTGCTGCACTCTTTTGAAAGGTAGGTAAGCAGCTGTCTGCAAGGGATGGATGTAGTTGGATGCAGATACAGGCCTTCCCCCAGTGAAACATTTTCCTCGGTGTTACTCAGTGAGAGACCAAGTGCACATCTCAAGTTTTCCTGTGCTTTCTGTCCCCTTGTCAGGTGAAGTTGCCAGGTATGGCTGTCCATCACCCAGGATATGAAGCCCCGCCCATGAGGCAGGGTCTCGAGGTGCAAGGCAGTCCAGCAAGAAGTGTGGTGCCCCAGGTTGCTGCCAGTTCTTTTTGGATCACCAAGCACGGTACGGCTTCTCCTGCCCCAGGACGTGTCGTGAATTTCAGGTTTCCTGGCGCCGCTGCCTGAGTGGCTGTCCGTGTGGAGGGACGATTCCTCTTGCTGAGAAGCCTGGGGGCTCTGAGTTCCCCGGCTGCTGGAGGACTCCCAGGTCACTGGCTCCTCCTGAGAGCGGCACTGCCTGCCCTGTGAAGGTGGGGAGCGAGCCAGCACGTGCTTGGATCGATGACGACACCAACTCATGCATTCCTTGGAAATCTGAACAAAATGAGTGAGAACTCACTACCGTCTCCTCATCGAAACTGAGGTCCAGCACGTTGCCTCCCTTTGGGTTAAGGGTGGGACTGTTTAGCAAGAGGGCTTCTCTGACTGTGTGACACACATGCATGGAGGAGCCATGTCAAAACCACTTGGAAGGCTCCCATCTTAGGGTGGGCCGTGTACAGATGTTCGAGCAGCTCTTGGACCGCGAGGTCCATGGTGAAGGGCACTGAGGAGCAGAAGAGGCATCCGGCTTGTCCAGTGGTGGTGGGTGTCGAAGTAGATCCTGGCATTGGAGAGTGAGTTCTTCGCTCAGAACGGTGCATTTTGTCTTGGTTCCTGCCGCAAGTGTGCTAATTCGGGGCCTCGTGATGTCGATTGTGACACAAGGAAGCTTCTGTGGTCTCTGCTTGGAGCCCCAGGTCAGATCTGAAGCCCTAGCCATTGAGGCCCTTTGGTTGGTGAGATTGCTGAGTACCCTGTGGGCTGCAGCGGATGCAGAGGCCTTGGGAACGGTGGAAGATGTGAAAGTTAGTAGGGCACATTTCTCCCCTTGGCAGTTCCTGAATTGCAACTCCTGTCCCATGCTTGAGTGTTGGAGGTCGGCATGGACGGTCTTGTGGTCACAGGCCTGCATTTCTTCTGCAGGTTGGCCCGAGGCCCAGAGAAGAATGGTTGTGCAGGTGAGGAAAAGTGCAGTGTGACTTCCTGGGATGTTATGTCTGCTGAGGCTGCAGGCACTGTCGTTCTGTTTTCACTGATACATACTGTGGTCCTTTAGAAGCTGCCCTCAGCTGGGTACAAAGGAGAGGGCATTGCTGGTGCTTGGGAGGCTCGGTGATAGGTGACCTTTGTGTCCTTGGTGGCCTGCTGCCAGTAGAAGGACTGTCCAAGGGTATCTTTGGTGCCTTGAAGAGTTGCAGTAACAGAGGCCAAGCAGCCAGGCCTGTGGGTTGTTATGTGGTGTGCGCACATGCCTCTTGGCCTCCATTTGACCGTGGGCCTGCAATTAGCTATGATCCCTAAGGTTTGGGCCAGGCAGCCGCCCCTGATAGCACCAATGTGTTCATCCCCCCTCGCAATGAAGCATCAAACTTGGAGGCCCGTGGTTCTGGTAGAGATTGGTCATTGGCTGGCATACCCACGCTGCCTCAGTATCAGAGCCAGCAGCTCCCATGGCACTGTGGCAGAGACCTGTTGCATCCAAGGTCTTCCCCTGGCAGGTGTTCTGATGTCTTCATTAAAGCGTGCTTAGTGATCTGTGTGCACTGGGTCAGTCTGCCCACCTTCATCCTCTGGATCTTCCTGCTTGCTGATTGTGCCTGAGTGTGCTGAGGCCTTGGAGGCTTCAGATTTGGGTGAGTAACCCTTGCGTCAGGAGGAGTTCAATCTGGACCATGGCCTGCATTATGGGAGCTTTCTCTAGGGTGTCGTCAGTAGCCCGGTCCCTACAGGGTGTGGATCTGAGGATGTTCTGGCCAGGACAGGGGTCCCGTTTCTGTGGGAGTGACCCTTGGATCCTGGTACCTGAGGCAGTCCAGGTCCCATCCTCACTTTCTGTCAGAGGCCGCCCAATGATTGGACTGACTGGCAGGAAGAGACGCATGCCTTGAATTCTTTTCCTATTGGAGGGTGCGGTGAGCCGTATCTGCCCTAGTGCCAAGTTCACCTTACTGTGCAGTTCTCTGGGAACATTTTCTGGTTAGGGTGGAGGTGGTCCTTGTGACAAGGACCCCTTAGCTGTAGTAGTAGCTACAGTCTCAGGGTACGTGGCATTCACACAGATGCTCTGCAAGGTGACCTTGGGCGGTCAGGTCTCTGCTTTGGTCAGAGATCATGGGTCACGGAGACTGGGAGCCTAGAGCCGATGTCGACAGCCCCTCAGTGAAATTTTGCATGGGGCCGAAGGAAGATGCCAGGTGTCCTCCCCCATTTCGTGGGAAGAGAGGAGGTCAGGGCTCCATGAAGACGACATTCGTGTTCAGACTGCAGGGTGTTTCCATGCAGGCTCTGAAACTTGGATACCCGGACGTATTTCTAGACACACACCCAAATTGCCGAGAGTGCATTCTTGTTGGTACATTCTTGTTGGCACTCAAGCCCAAATAGAATCCCCTACCACCCATGCATGCTGAGTCAGAAAGTCACCCACATGCACCTGAGCCTGATTTGCTGCACTCTTTTGAAAGGTAGGTAAGCAGCTGTCTGTAAGGGATGGATGTATTTGGGTTCAGATTCAGGCCTTCCCCCAGTGAAACATTTTCCTCGGTGTTAATCAGTGAGAGACCAAGTGCACATCTCAAGTGTTCCTGTGCTTTCTGTGCCCTTGTCAGGTGAAGTTGCCAGGTATGGCTGTCCATCACCCAGGAGACGAAGCCCCGCCCATGAGGCAGGGTCTCGAGGTGCAAGGCAGTCCGGCAAGAAGTGTGGTGCCCCAGGTTGCTGCCAGTTCTTTCTGGATCACCGAGCACGGTACGTCTTCTCCTGCCCCAAGACGTGTCATGAATTTCAGGCTTCCTGTCGCTGCTGCCTGAGTGGCTGTCCGTGTGGAGGGACCGTTCCTCTTGCTGAGAAGCCTGGGGGCTCTGAGTTCCCCGTCTGCTGGAGGACTCTCAGGTCACTGGCTCCTTCTGAGAGCGGCACTGCCTGCCCTGTGAAGGTGGGGAGCGAGCCAGCTCGTGCTCGGATCGATGACGACACCCTCTCATGCATTCCTTGGAAAATCTGAACAAAATGAGTGAGAACTCACTACCGTCTCCTCATCGAAACTGAGGTCCGGCACGTTGCCTCCCTTTGGGGTAAGGGTGGGACTGTTTAGCAAGAGGGCTTCTCTGACTGTGTGACACACCTGCATGGAGGAGCCATGTCAACACCACTTGGAAGGCTCCCATCTGAGGGTGGGCCGTGTACAGATGTTCGAGCAGCTCTTGGAACGCGAGGTCCGTGGTGAAGGGCACTGAGGAGCAGAAGAGGCATCCGGCTTGTCCAGTGGTGGTGGGTGTCGAAGTAGATCCTGGCATTGGACAGTGAGCTCTTCGCTCAGAACGGTGCATTTTGTCCTGGTTCTGCTGAAATTGTGCTAATTGGGGGTCTCGTGATGTCGATTGTGACACAAGGAAGCTTCTGTTGTCTCTGACTGGAGCCCGAGGTCAGATCTGAGGCCCTCGCGATGGCGTCCCTTTGGGTTGGTGAGATTGCTGAGTACCCTGTGGGCTGCAGCGGCTGCAGAGACCTAGGGGAACGGTGGAAGTTGTGAAAGTTAATAGGCCTCATTTCTGCCCTTGGTAGTTCCTGAATTGCAACTCCTGTCCCATGCTTGAGTCTTGGAAGTCGCCATGGACTGTGTTGTGGTCACAGGCCTGCATTTCTCCTGTAGGTTGGCCAGAGGCCCAGAGAAGAATGGTTGTGCAGGTGAGGAAAAGTGCAGTGTGATTTCCTGGGATGTTATGTCTGCTGAAGCTGCAGGCACTGTCATTCTGTTTTCACTGATACATACTGTGGTCCTTTGGAAGCTGCCCTCAGCTGGGTAGAGAGGAGAGGGCATTGCTGGTGCTTGGGAGGCTCGGTGATAGGTGACCTTTGTGTCCTTGGTGGCCTGCTGCCAGTAGAAGGACTGTCCAAGGGTATCTTTGGTGCCTTGAAGAGTTGCAGTAACAGAGGCCAAGCAGCCAGGCCTGTGGGTTGTTATGTGGTGTGCGCACATGCCTCTTGGCCTCCATTTGAGCGTGGACCTGGAATTAGCTTTGTTCCCTAAGGTTGGGGCCAGTCAGCCGGCCCTGATAGCACCAATGTGTTCGTCCCCCCTCGCAATGAAGCATCAAACGTGGAGGTCCGTGGTTCTGGTAGAGATTGGTCATTGGCTGGCATACCCACGCTGCCTTGTTATCGGAGCCAGCAGCTCCCATGGCACTGTGGCAGAGACCTGTGGCATCCAAGGTCTTCCCCTGGCAGGTGTTCTGATGTCTTCATTAAAGCGTCCTTAGTGATCTGTGTGCACTGGGTCAGTCTGCCCACCTTCATCCTCTGGATCTTCCTGCTTGCTGATTGTGCCTGAGTGTGCTGAGGCCTTGGAGGCTTCAGATTTGGGTGAGTAACCCTTGCGGCAGGAGGAGTTCAATCTGGACCACGGCCTGCATTATGGGAGCTTTCTCTAGGGTGTCGTCAGTAGCCCGGTCCCTACAGGGTGTGGATCTGAGGATGATCTGGCCAGGACAGGGGTCCCGTTTCTGTGGGAGTGACCCTTGGATCCTGGTACCTGAGGCAGTCCAGGTCCCATCCTCACTTTCTGTCAGAGGCCGCCCAATGATTGGACTGACTGGCAGGAAGAGACGCATGCCTTGAATTCATTTCCTATTCGAGGGTGCGGTGAGCCGTATCTGCCCTAGTGCCAAGTTCACCTTACTGTGCAGTTCTCTGGGAAGATTTTCTGGTTAGGGTGGAGGTGGTCCTTGTGACAAGGACCCCTTAGCTGTAGTAGTAGCTACAGTCTCAGGGTACGTGGCATTCACACAGATGCTCTGCAAGGTGACCTTGGGCGGTCAGGTCTCTGCTTTGGTCAGAGATCATGGGTCATGGAGACTGGGAGCCTAGAGCCGATGTCGACACCCCTCAGTGAAATTGTGCATGGGGCCGAAGGAAGATGCCAGGTGTCCTCCCCCATTTCGTGGGAAGACAGGAGGTCAGGGCTCCATGAAGACGACATGCGTGTTCAGACCGCAGGGTGTTTCCATGCAGGCTCTGAAACTTGGATACCCGGACGTATTTCTAGACACACACCCAAATTGCCGAGAGTGCATTCTTGTTGGTACATTCTTGTTGGCACTCAAGCCCAAATAGAATCCCCTACCACCCATGCATGCTGAGTCAGAAAGTCACCCACATGCACCTGAGCCTGATTTGCTGCACTCTTTTGAAAGGTAGGTAACTGTCTGTAAGTGTTGGATGTAGTTGGGTTCAGATACAGGCCTTCCCCCAGTGAAACATTTTCCTCGGTGTTATTCAGTGAGAGACCAAGCGCACATCTCAAGTGTTCCTGTGCTTTCTGTCCCCTTGTCAGGTGAAGTTGCCAGGTATGGCTGTCCATCACCCAGGATACGAAGCCCCGCCCATGAGGCAGGGGCTCGAGGTGCAAGGCAGTCCGGCAAGAAGTGTGGTGCCCCAGGTTGCTGCCAGTTCTTTTTGGATCACCGAGCACGGTACGTCTTCTCCTGCCCCAAGACGTGTCGTGAATTTCAGGTTTCCTGGCGCTGCTGCCTGAGTGGCTCTCCGTGCGGAGGGACCATTCCTCTTGTTGACAAGCCTGGGGGCTCTGAGTTCCCCGGCTGCTGGAGGACTCCCAGGTCACTGGCTCTTCCTGAGAGTGGCACTGCCTACCCTGTGAAGGTGGGGAGCGAGCCAGCTCGTGCTCGGATCGATGACGACACCCTCTCATGCATTCCTTGGAAAATCTGAACAAAATGAGTGAGAACTCACTACCGTCTCCTCATCGAAACTGAGGTCCGGCACGTTGCCTCCCTTTGGGTTAAGGGTGGGACTGTTTAGCAAGAGGGCTTCTCTGACTGTGTGACACACATGCATGGAGGAGCCATGTCAACACCACTTGGAAGGCTCCCATCTGAGGGTGGGCCGTGTACAGATGTTCGAGCAGCTCTTGGAACGCGAGGTCCATGGTGAAGGGCACTGAGGAGCAGAAGAGGCATCCGGCTTGTCCAGTGGTGGTGGGTGTCGAAGTAGATCCTGGCATTGGACAGTGAGCTCTTCGCTCAGAACGGTGCATTTTGTCCTGGTTCCTGCTGAAAGTGTGCTAACTGGGGGTCTCGTGATGTCGATTGTGACACAAGGAAGCTTCTGTGGTCTCTGATTGGAGCCGCAGGTCAGATCTGAGGCCCTCGCCATTGCGGCCCTTTGGGTTGGTGAGATTGCTGAGTACCCTGTGGGCTGCAGCGGCTGCAGAGACCTAGGTGAACGGTAGAAGTTGTGAAAGATAGTAGGCCACATTTCTCCCCTTGGCAGTTCCTGAATTGCATCTCCTGTCCCATGGCTGAGTCTTGGAGGTCGCCATGGACTGTGTTGTGGTCACAGGCCTGCACTTCTCCTGCAGGTTGGCCAGAGGCCCAGAGAAGAATGGTTGTGCAGGTGAGGAAAAATGCAGTGTGATTTCCTGGGATGTTATGTCTGCTGAGGCTGCAGGCACTGTTGTTCTGTTTTCACTGATGCATACTGTGGTCCTTTGGAAGCTGCCCTCAGCTGGGTACAGAGGAGAGGGCATTGCTGGTGCTTGGGAGGCTCAGTGATAGGTGACCTTTGTGTCCTTGGTGGCCTGCTGCCAGTAGAAGTACTCTCCAAGGGTATCTTTGGTGCCTTGAAGAGTTGCAGTAACAGAGACCAAGCAACGAGGCCTGTGGGTTGTTATGTGGTGTGTGCACATGCCCCTTGGCCACCATTTGACCCTGGGCCTGGAATTAGCTATGTTCCCTAAGGTTGGGGCCAGTCAGCCGGCCCTGTTAGCACCAATGTGTTCGCCCCCCTGGCAATGAAGCATCAATCTTGGAGGCCGGTGGTTCTGGTAGAGATGGTCATTGGTTGGCATACCCACGCTGCCTCAATATCTGAGCCAGCAGCTCCCATGGCCCTATGGCAGAGACCTGTGGCATCCAAGGTCTTCCCCTGGCAGGTCTTCTGATGTCTTCATGAAAGCATCCTTAGTGATCTGTGTACACTCGGTCAGTTTTCTCACCTTCATCCTCTGGATCTTCCTGCTTGCTGATTGTGCCTGAGTGTGCCGAAGGCTTGGAGGCTTCAGATTTGGGTGAGTAACCCTTGCGGCAGGAGGAGTTCAATCTGGACCACGGCCTGCATTATGGGAGCTTTCTCTAGGGTGTCGTCAGTAGCCCGGTCCCTACAGGGTGTGGATCTGAGGATGATCTGGCCAGGACAGGGGTCCCGTTTCTGTAGGAGTGACCCTTGGATCCTGGTACCTGAGGCAGTCCAGGTCCCATCCTCACTTTCTGTCAGAGGCCACCCAATGATTGGACTGACTGGCAGGAAGAGACGCATGCCTTGAATTCTTTTCCTATTCGAGGGTGCGGTGAGTCGCATCTACCCTAGTTCCAAGTTCACCTAACTGTGCAGTTCTCTGGGAAGATTTTCTGGTTAGGGTGGAGGTGGTCCTTGTGACAAGGACCCCTTAGCTGTAGTAGTAGCTACAGTCTCAGGGTATGTGGCATTCACACAGATGCTCTGCAAGGTGACCTTGGGCGGTCAGGTCTCTGAGCTTTGGTCAGAGATCATGGGTCATGGAGACTGGGAGCCTAGAGCCGATGTCGACAGCCCCTCAGTGAAATTTTGCATTGGGCCGAAGGAAGATGCCAGGTGTCCTCCCCCATTTTTTGGGAAGACAGGAGGTCAGGGCTCCATGAAGATGCCATGCGTATTCAGACTGCAGGTTGTTTCCATGCGGGCTCTGAGACTTGGATACCCGGACGTATTTCTAGACACACACCCAAATTGCTGAGAGTGCGTTCTTGTTGGTACACCGGAACAGAGGCACTCAACCCCAAATAGAATCCCCTGCCACCCATGCATGCTAAGTCAGAAAGACACACACATGCACCTGAGCCTGATTTGCTGCACTCTTTTGAAAGGTAGGTAAGCAGCTGTCTGCAAGGGATGGATGTAGTTGGATGCAGATACAGGCCTTCCCCCAGTGAAACATTTTCCTCGGTGTTACTCAGTGAGAGACCAAGTGCACATCTCAAGTTTTCCTGTGCTTTCTGTCCCCTTGTCAGGTGAAGTTGCCAGGTATGGCTGTCCATCACCCAGGATATGAAGCCCCGCCCATGAGGCAGGGTCTCGAGGTGCAAGGCAGTCCAGCAAGAAGTGTGGTGCCCCAGGTTGCTGCCAGTTCTTTTTGGATCACCAAGCACGGTACGGCTTCTCCTGCCCCAGGACGTGTCGTGAATTTCAGGTTTCCTGGCGCCGCTGCCTGAGTGGCTGTCCGTGTGGAGGGACGATTCCTCTTGCTGAGAAGCCTGGGGGCTCTGAGTTCCCCGGCTGCTGGAGGACTCCCAGGTCACTGGCTCCTCCTGAGAGCGGCACTGCCTGCCCTGTGAAGGTGGGGAGCGAGCCAGCACGTGCTTGGATCGATGACGACACCAACTCATGCATTCCTTGGAAATCTGAACAAAATGAGTGAGAACTCACTACCGTCTCCTCATCGAAACTGAGGTCCAGCACGTTGCCTCCCTTTGGGTTAAGGGTGGGACTGTTTAGCAAGAGGGCTTCTCTGACTGTGTGACACACATGCATGGAGGAGCCATGTCAAAACCACTTGGAAGGCTCCCATCTTAGGGTGGGCCGTGTACAGATGTTCGAGCAGCTCTTGGACCGCGAGGTCCATGGTGAAGGGCACTGAGGAGCAGAAGAGGCATCCGGCTTGTCCAGTGGTGGTGGGTGTCGAAGTAGATCCTGGCATTGGAGAGTGAGTTCTTCGCTCAGAACGGTGCATTTTGTCTTGGTTCCTGCCGCAAGTGTGCTAATTCGGGGCCTCGTGATGTCGATTGTGACACAAGGAAGCTTCTGTGGTCTCTGCTTGGAGCCCCAGGTCAGATCTGAAGCCCTAGCCATTGAGGCCCTTTGGTTGGTGAGATTGCTGAGTACCCTGTGGGCTGCAGCGGATGCAGAGGCCTTGGGAACGGTGGAAGATGTGAAAGTTAGTAGGGCACATTTCTCCCCTTGGCAGTTCCTGAATTGCAACTCCTGTCCCATGCTTGAGTGTTGGAGGTCGGCATGGACGGTCTTGTGGTCACAGGCCTGCATTTCTTCTGCAGGTTGGCCCGAGGCCCAGAGAAGAATGGTTGTGCAGGTGAGGAAAAGTGCAGTGTGATTTCCTGGGATGTTATGTCTGCTGAGGCTGCAGGCACTGTCGTTCTGTTTTCACTGATACATACTGTGGTCCTTTAGAAGCTGCCCTCAGCTGGGTACAAAGGAGAGGGCATTGCTGGTGCTTGGGAGGCTCGGTGATAGGTGACCTTTGTGTCCTTGGTGGCCTGCTGCCAGTAGAAGGACTGTCCAAGGGTATCTTTGGTGCCTTGAAGAGTTGCAGTAACAGAGGCCAAGCAGCCAGGCCTGTGGGTTGTTATGTGGTGTGCGCACATGCCTCTTGGCCTCCATTTGACCGTGGGCCTGCAATTAGCTATGATCCCTAAGGTTTGGGCCAGGCAGCCGCCCCTGATAGCACCAATGTGTTCATCCCCCCTCGCAATGAAGCATCAAACTTGGAGGCCCGTGGTTCTGGTAGAGATTGGTCATTGGCTGGCATACCCACGCTGCCTCAGTATCAGAGCCAGCAGCTCCCATGGCACTGTGGCAGAGACCTGTTGCATCCAAGGTCTTCCCCTGGCAGGTGTTCTGATGTCTTCATTAAAGCGTGCTTAGTGATCTGTGTGCACTGGGTCAGTCTGCCCACCTTCATCCTCTGGATCTTCCTGCTTGCTGATTGTGCCTGAGTGTGCTGAGGCCTTGGAGGCTTCAGATTTGGGTGAGTAACCCTTGCGTCAGGAGGAGTTCAATCTGGACCATGGCCTGCATTATGGGAGCTTTCTCTAGGGTGTCGTCAGTAGCCCGGTCCCTACAGGGTGTGGATCTGAGGATGATCTGGCCAGGACAGGGGTCCCGTTTCTGTGGGAGTGACCCTTGGATCCTGGTACCTGAGGCAGTCCAGGTCCCATCCTCACTTTCTGTCAGAGGCCGCCCAATGATTGGACTGACTGGCAGGAAGAGACGCATGCCTTGAATTCTTTTCCTATTGGAGGGTGCGGTGAGCCGTATCTGCCCTAGTGCCAAGTTCACCTTACTGTGCAGTTCTCTGGGAAGATTTTCTGGTTAGGGTGGAGGTGGTCCTTGTGACAAGGACCCCTTAGCTGTAGTAGTAGCTACAGTCTCAGGGTACGTGGCATTCACACAGATGCTCTGCAAGGTGACCTTGGGCGGTCAGGTCTCTGCTTTGGTCAGAGATCATGGGTCACGGAGACTGGGAGCCTAGAGCCGATGTCGACAGCCCCTCAGTGAAATTTTGCATGGGGCCGAAGGAAGATGCCAGGTGTCCTCCCCCATTTCGTGGGAAGAGAGGAGGTCAGGGCTCCATGAAGACGACATTCGTGTTCAGACTGCAGGGTGTTTCCATGCAGGCTCTGAAACTTGGATACCCGGACGTATTTCTAGACACACACCCAAATTGCCGAGAGTGCATTCTTGTTGGTACATTCTTGTTGGCACTCAAGCCCAAATAGAATCCCCTACCACCCATGCATGCTGAGTCAGAAAGTCACCCACATGCACCTGAGCCTGATTTGCTGCACTCTTTTGAAAGGTAGGTAAGCAGCTGTCTGTAAGGGATGGATGTATTTGGGTTCAGATTCAGGCCTTCCCCCAGTGAAACATTTTCCTCGGTGTTAATCAGTGAGAGACCAAGTGCACATCTCAAGTGTTCCTGTGCTTTCTGTGCCCTTGTCAGGTGAAGTTGCCAGGTATGGCTGTCCATCACCCAGGAGACGAAGCCCCGCCCATGAGGCAGGGTCTCGAGGTGCAAGGCAGTCCGGCAAGAAGTGTGGTGCCCCAGGTTGCTGCCAGTTCTTTCTGGATCACCGAGCACGGTACGTCTTCTCCTGCCCCAAGACGTGTCATGAATTTCAGGCTTCCTGTCGCTGCTGCCTGAGTGGCTGTCCGTGTGGAGGGACCGTTCCTCTTGCTGAGAAGCCTGGGGGCTCTGAGTTCCCCGTCTGCTGGAGGACTCTCAGGTCACTGGCTCCTTCTGAGAGCGGCACTGCCTGCCCTGTGAAGGTGGGGAGCGAGCCAGCTCGTGCTCGGATCGATGACGACACCCTCTCATGCATTCCTTGGAAAATCTGAACAAAATGAGTGAGAACTCACTACCGTCTCCTCATCGAAACTGAGGTCCAGCACGTTGCCTCCCTTTGGGGTAAGGGTGGGACTGTTTAGCAAGAGGGCTTCTCTGACTGTGTGACACACCTGCATGGAGGAGCCATGTCAACACCACTTGGAAGGCTCCCATCTGAGGGTGGGCCGTGTACAGATGTTCGAGCAGCTCTTGGAACGCGAGGTCCGTGGTGAAGGGCACTGAGGAGCAGAAGAGGCATCCGGCTTGTCCAGTGGTGGTGGGTGTCGAAGTAGATCCTGGCATTGGACAGTGAGCTCTTCGCTCAGAACGGTGCATTTTGTCCTGGTTCCTGCTGAAATTGTGCTAATTGGGGGTCTCGTGATGTCGATTGTGACACAAGGAAGCTTCTGTTGTCTCTGACTGGAGCCCCAGGTCAGATCTGAGGCCCTCGCGATGGCGTCCCTTTGGGTTGGTGAGATTGCTGAGTACCCTATGGGCTGCAGCGGCTGCAGAGACCTAGGGGAACGGTGGAAGTTGTGAAAGTTAATAGGCCTCATTTCTGCCCTTGGTAGTTCCTGAATTGCAACTCCTGTCCCATGCTTGAGTCTTGGAGGTCCCCATGGACTGTGTTGTGGTCACAGGCCTGCATTTCTCCTGTAGGTTGGCCAGAGGCCCAGAGAAGAATGGTTGTGCAGGTGAGGAAAAGTGCAGTGTGATTTCCTGGGATGTTATGTCTGCTGAAGCTGCAGGCACTGTCATTCTGTTTTCACTGATACATACTGTGGTCCTTTGGAAGCTGCCCTCAGCTGGGTAGAGAGGAGAGGGCATTGCTGGTGCTTGGGAGGCTCGGTGATAGGTGACCTTTGTGTCCTTGGTGGCCTGCTGCCAGTAGAAGGACTGTCCAAGGGTATCTTTGGTGCCTTGAAGAGTTGCAGTAACAGAGGCCAAGCAGCCAGGCCTGTGGGTTGTTATGTGGTGTGCGCACATGCCTCTTGGCCTCCATTTGAGCGTGGACCTGGAATTAGCTTTGTTCCCTAAGGTTGGGGCCAGTCAGCCGGCCCTGATAGCACCAATGTGTTCGTCCCCCCTCGCAATGAAGCATCAAACGTGGAGGCCCGTGGTTCTGGTAGAGATTGGTCATTGGCTGGCATACCCACGCTGCCTTGTTATCGGAGCCAGCAGCTCCCATGGCACTGTGGCAGAGACCTGTGGCATCCAAGGTCTTCCCCTGGCAGGTGTTCTGATGTCTTCATTAAAGCGTCCTTAGTGATCTGTGTGCACTGGGTCAGTCTGCCCACCTTCATCCTCTGGATCTTCCTGCTTGCTGATTGTGCCTGAGTGTGCTGAGGCCTTGGAGGCTTCAGATTTGGGTGAGTAACCCTTGCGGCAGGAGGAGTTCAATCTGGACCACGGCCTGCATTATGGGAGCTTTCTCTAGGGTGTCGTCAGTAGCCCGGTCCCTACAGGGTGTGGATCTGAGGATGATCTGGCCAGGACAGGGGTCCCGTTTCTGTGGGAGTGACCCTTGGATCCTGGTACCTGAGGCAGTCCAGGTCCCATCCTCACTTTCTGTCAGAGGCCGCCCAATGATTGGACTGACTGGCAGGAAGAGACGCATGCCTTGAATTCATTTCCTATTCGAGGGTGCGGTGAGCCGTATCTGCCCTAGTGCCAAGTTCACCTTACTGTGCAGTTCTCTGGGAAGATTTTCTGGTTAGGGTGGAGGTGGTCCTTGTGACAAGGACCCCTTAGCTGTAGTAGTAGCTACAGTCTCAGGGTACGTGGCATTCACACAGATGCTCTGCAAGGTGACCTTGGGCGGTCAGGTCTCTGCTTTGGTCAGAGATCATGGGTCATGGAGACTGGGAGCCTAGAGCCGATGTCGACACCCCTCAGTGAAATTGTGCATGGGGCCGAAGGAAGATGCCAGGTGTCCTCCCCCATTTCGTGGGAAGAGAGGAGGTCAGGGCTCCATGAAGACGACATGCGTGTTCAGACCGCAGGGTGTTTCCATGCAGGCTCTGAAACTTGGATGCCCGGACGTATTTCTAGACACACACCCAAATTGCCGAGAGTGCATTCTTGTTGGTACATTCTTGTTGGCACTCAAGCCCAAATAGAATCCCCTACCACCCATGCATGCTGAGTCAGAAAGTCACCCACATGCACCTGAGCCTGATTTGCTGCACTCTTTTGAAAGGTAGGTAACTGTCTGTAAGGGTTGGATGTAGTTGGGTTCAGATACAGGCCTTCCCCCAGTGAAACATTTTCCTCGGTGTTATTCAGTGAGAGACCAAGCGCACATCTCAAGTGTTCCTGTGCTTTCTGTCCCCTTGTCAGGTGAAGTTGCCAGGTATGGCTGTCCATCACCCAGGATACGAAGCCCCGCCCATGAGGCAGGGTCTCGAGGTGCAAGGCAGTCCGGCAAGAAGTGTGGTGCCCCAGGTTGCTGCCAGTTCTTTTTGGATCACCGAGCACGGTACGTCTTCTCCCGCCCCAAGACGTGTCGTGAATTTCAGGCTTCCTGCCGCTGCTGCCTGAGTGGCTGTCCGTGTGGAGGGACCATTCCTCTTGTTGACAAGCCTGGGGGCTCTGAGTTCCCCGGCTGCTGGAGGACTCCCAGGTCACTGGCTCCTCCTGAGAGTGGCACTGCCTGCCCTGTGAAGGTGGGGAGCGAGCCAGCTCGTGCTCGGATCGATGACGACACCCTCTCATGCATTCCTTGGAAAATCTGAACAAAATGAGTGAGAACTCACTACCGTCTCCTCATCGAAACTGAGGTCCAGCACGTTGCCTCCCTTTGGGTGAAGGGTGGGACTGTTTAACAAGAGGGCTTCTCTGACTGTGTGACACACATGCATGGAGGAGCCATGTCAACACCACTTGGAAGGCTCCCATCTGAGGGTGGGCCGTGTACAGATGTTCGAGCAGCTCTTGGAACGCGAGGTCCATGGTGAAGGGCACTGAGGAGCAGAAGAGGCATCCGGCTTGTCCAGTGGTGGTGGGTGTCGAAGTAGATCCTGGCATTGGACAGTGAGCTCTTCGCTCAGAACGGTGCATTTTGTCCTGGTTCCTGCTGAAAGTGTGCTAATTGGGGGTCTCGTGATGTCGATTGTGACACAAGGAAGCTTCTGTGGACTCTGATTGGAGCCCCAGGTCAGATCTGAGGCCCTCGCCATTGCGTCCCTTTGGGTTGGTGAGGTTGCTGAGTACCTGTGGGCTGCAGCGGCTGCAGAGACCTAGGGGAACGGTGGAAGTTGAGAAAGTTAATAGGCCTCATTTCTGCCCTTGGTAGTTCCTGAATTGCAACTCCTGTCCCATGTTTGAATCTTGGAGGTCGCCATGGACTGTGTTGTGGTCACAGGCCTGCATTTCTCCTGTAGGTTGGCCAGAGGCCCAGAGAAGAATGGTTGTGCAGGTGAGGAAAAGTGCAGTGTGATTTCCTGGGATGTTATGTCTGCTGAAGCTGCAGGCACTGTCGTTCTGTTTTCACTGATACATACTGTGGTCCTTTGGAAGCTGCCCTCAGCTGGGTAGAGAGGAGAGGGCATTGCTGGTGCTTGGGAGGCTCGGTGATAGGTGACCTTTGTGTCCTTGGTGGCCTGCTGCCAGTAGAAGGACTGTCCAAGGGTATCTTTGGTGCCTTGAAGAGTTGCAGTAACAGAGGCCAAGCAGCCAGGCCTGTGGGTTGTTATGTGGTGTGCGCACATGCCTCTTGGCCTCCATTTGACCGTGGGCCTGGAATTAGCTTTGTTCCCCAAGGTTGGGGCCAGTCAGCCGGCCCTGATAGCACCAATGTGTTCGTCCCCCCTCGCAATGAAGCATCAAATGTGGAGGCCCGTGGTTCTGGTAGAGATTGGTCATTGGCTGGCATACCCACGCTGCCTTGTTATCGGAGCCAGCAGCTCCCATGGCACTGTGGCAGAGACCTGTGGCATCCAAGGTCTTCCCCTGGCAGGTGTTCTGATGTCTTCATTAAAGCGTCCTTAGTGATCTGTGTGCACTGGGTCAGTCTGCCCACCTTCATCCTCTGGATCTTCCTGCTTGCTGATTGTGCCTGAGTGTGCTGAGGCCTTGGAGGCTTCAGATTTGGGTGAGTAACCCTTGCGGCAGGAGGAGTTCAATCTGGACCACGGCCTGCATTATGGGAGCTTTCTCTAGGGTGTCGTCAGTAGCCCGGTCCCTACAGGGTGTGGATCTGAGGATGATCTGGCCAGGACAGGGGTCCCGTTTCTGTGGGAGTGACCCTTGGATCCTGGTACCTGAGGCAGTCCAGGTCCCATCCTCACTTTCTGTCAGAGGCCGCCCAATGATTGGACTGACTGGCAGGAAGAGACGCATGCCTTGAATTCATTTCCTATTCGAGGGTGCGGTGAGCCGTATCTGCCCTAGTGCCAAGTTCACCTTACTGTGCAGTTCTCTGGGAAGATTTTCTGGTTAGGGTGGAGGTGGTCCTTGTGACAAGGACCCCTTAGCTGTAGTAGTAGCTACAGTCTCAGGGTACGTGGCATTCACACAGATGCTCTGCAAGGTGACCTTGGGCGGTCAGGTCTCTGCTTTGGTCAGAGATCATGGGTCATGGAGACTGGGAGCCTAGAGCCGATGTCGACACCCCTCAGTGAAATTGTGCATGGGGCCGAAGGAAGATGCCAGGTGTCCTCCCCCATTTCGTGGGAAGACAGGAGGTCAGGGCTCCATGAAGACGACATGCGTGTTCAGACCGCAGGGTGTTTCCATGCAGGCTCTGAAACTTGGATGCCCGGACGTATTTCTAGACACACACCCAAATTGCCGAGAGTGCATTCTTGTTGGTACATTCTTGTTGGCACTCAAGCCCAAATAGAATCCCCTACCACCCATGCATGCTGAGTCAGAAAGTCACCCACATGCACCTGAGCCTGATTTGCTGCACTCTTTTGAAAGGTAGGTAACTGTCTGTAAGTGTTGGATGTAGTTGGGTTCAGATACAGGCCTTCCCCCAGTGAAACATTTTCCTCGGTGTTATTCAGTG